TCGGATTCGGATAGAGCGTGGCCAGAAACCCCAAACTGTTGAAAAACATTATGAAAAAGTTTTTTGTCTAAATAAAAATAATTAACATTGAAAGTGACGCCTGTTGAGACCTCTTCCAAGTAGCTTTGAAAAATTCATAGAATTCTGAGGACTGCTCTAAGTAAATAGAACGAAAAATCAAAGGGTTGCGGAATTTATCTAGAAACTATAGTAATAACTAAGGAGTTTATTGCTCTAATTAGCCTAGAGCGTAGGAGCACTTCCGAAGCAGTGATCATGTGTTTTTAGTCAGCAAAATTGCAAAAAAAACTTTTAGGGGTCCTAAAACTTAAAGATAAATAATCAATAGTCTTTTAGTTATAGGTAGGACCTAAAACTTTTCTAAAGGCTTTTTTGGACGACTAGGCATGTTTCCGCACGGATGAAACAACTTTTTAGTGAGTTTAGGCTATCCTTAACAAATTAGTAATGTTGTGATGCTCGCGAAAATCATGGGGAAATTTATAATCGGGCTTAAAGGTTTAAAAAGTTTTAGTGGTCTGAATCACTACTAAAACTTATAGGGGTCTGTCGGGGTACTAAAACTTATAACTAGGGGTCCTAAATGTTTTTTGGGGGAGTACTATAACTTTGAAGCCTTTTTTAACCATTTTAGAGAGTTATTTAGAGATTTTTCGAAACGTGATCCGATAGAAGGCATTTTTTCAAATCTTTTCGTATATCCGATGGTTATTTGTAGCGTACACCCTTCGAGTTACAGCTCTGGGTAACAAACAGCTTTTAGGGGTCCTAAAAAAGTTTTAGGGGTCCTAATGAAAGTTACAGGGGTCCTAAAATCGTTTTGGTACCAGCCCAGATTCTTCAGATTCAGATTTTTCGGGAAACAGATTTTCGGGAAACGAATTTTTCGGGATTCAGATTTTTCGGGAACCGGATTTTCGGGATTCAGATTTTCGGGATTCAGATTTTTCGGGATTCGGATTTTCGGGAATTCTATTTTCGGGAATCGGATTTTCGGGAAACGGATTTTCGGGAATCAGATTTTCGGAAGTATAAGCGAAGCCCAATTTTTCGGGTACAATAAAAATCTGGCTACAAAAACGACGCTAGCTAGCATATTTTTTCAGAAATCGACGTCATTTGTGCGTTTTAGAAAACACTGGCTGAAGCACTGGTCAAAAATCTGCCAGCTAGAGCTGAGGCGAAATTATTCCCGTTCGACACCGAATTTGGCAAGTTTTTCGGTGAAACTCATGATTCTTGAACGTTTTTAGGTTTTCTAAGAAAAAACACTTCGCAATGCCTATTTGTCCATGGATTGGTGCCATATTTGGAGCAAAAACACGCGAAATTCTTCGATTTAAAGGTGGGTAAATTTTTAAAAAGCACTAATAACTATCGCTATAATTTTTGCGAGGATCAAAAATAGCGATGACGAAAATTTAGAGCTTTTTACTAATATTTTCAGATTTTTCTCGACGTCCCGCCGGATATTAGGCTTTGTCGAATACGTAAGTCGTTTTTGATTTATCTAAGAAGGAATCTTTGGCATTATGGGGGGGGGGGAGGATTCTTTTCGTTAGTAACCAATTTTTCTAAGATATCCTAAATGAATGAAGTGTTTTTACAGTTTTATTACTATTACTAAACGTAAAAACCTTCCTAAAATCTGAATAAAAAAAATACAAAAAAGATTTTTCTATAAAAATTTCGAATCTTTAAAGTTTTTCGATTTTTTTGGAGAGTTTTCCACTCAAAATATAGTTAAATTTTACTAAAAACACTTTTAAAATAATTACCACTACGTTGCTCGGCTTTTCTGGGTTGTAGAAAACCCCCACCCCCCCCCCCCCGGATAATGCCAAAGCACCAAAGGAAATTTACAGTAAAAGCTTCAAATTACGAGTGGAACCAGCAGCTCGTCGAAAAATACCTGAAAGAAACGCGGCCATTCTACCTGAAGAATATTGTCCGTCAAAAAGCGATGGCCGATGTCTGGCTGGGGGCTGATTACCGGAAAGGTTAGTTATTCACTTTTTACTGTCACTGTCCCTTTAAAAAATCTCCCCGAATAATTGAAGATAGAAAATGAATGAGATTTAAAAAATTTAAATCTTTTAGAACACCTTGACATGGTTCTGGAGAAAGTGATGGCAAAAATCAAGGATGGCCACTATGTGGATAGTCGGAATAAATAAATATGTTTCACTTCAGCTCATTGATATTCCAGTTTTAAACCCACAATTCGGCCACTGCCTTAAAGCGCACGTTCAGGGACGTATATTTATATTGAACGTATATTGCCTATTGACGCCGAGAGACTGGGAAAAGAAGGAGACGCAGGTGTCAATAGGCAATATACGTTCAACGTGCCTGAACGTGCACTTTAAGGAGGATAATTATTCTAGAGGAGACTTTAGAAGAGGAGACCCGGGTTCTTTCGCATTATCGGGGGCACCAACTTTTGCTTCTCAGAGTCCCAATTTTCAAATATAAATAGCGGAAGTCTTTCTAAACTCTTTTGTCACTATTCTAAACATAAAAACTAGTAAATCCTCGTTAAAAAAGACAAAATATATCGAGTTTCGACCGAAAGACGGCCGATTTTCGACCACAATTCCGCCTAAAAAATTGTTCTAAGTTAAATGTTTTTTTATAAATAGCGGATGCGTTTCTAGATTGTTTTTACGTATTTCCAAGCATCAAAACTATACCAATTTTTATTAAAAAAAATTTTTTCCTAAACTGACCAAATTTTCGACTTTTTCGAACATTTTTCCAGCTATTTTTAAAAGTTTTTCGACTTTAAATATAGTTAAAACTTGCTAAAAACAATGTACAATGTAATGTATATTTGGTTACTAGGCCATCGGGGCAGCAAGAAAAAAATTTGGTTCCCCGTGGGGTGTACTGTACTCCGAGACGAAACTCGGTACGACTACTGTACTCGGGTAGGGGATTCGACCAGAATACTGTATGAAAACCCCGAAAATATCTCGAATTCCGGTTTTCGACGGAATTACATGACCGTTCCGGCTATTTGGCCATTGCCATTGCGTGTGGGGTGTTGAGTTGTGGGCCCTTTTGCATGCATCAGAAGAAGAAGAGGAGGCTCCATTCGCCCCTGTTCCCCCTAGTCAGTCCCCCTTTTGCTTTGCCCTGCACCGCGGCGCTCCAAATCACGTGCCCGGGCCAATTGATTCCCGGGGAGTCCCCCGATCCGAACACCGGCCATCTTCAAGCCGAAATCCTGGGCCTGGAGCTCGATTTTGAAGCCTTTGAAGCCGGGAAAGGGAAACTCCAAGCCGGCTTGAGCCCGTAAATCCAACCCTGTACTTTGTAGCCTGGGCGATGTCGGGTGGACCGGTTTCTGCGCGAAAAAGGAGCTATTTTTAGGAGATTTCAACGGAAAACCCGGATTTTCGCACAACAAAAAGTCGTTTTGATCCTATTTCTTCTCAAACAATGGTATTCATAATTTTTCATGGATTATTTTATTCCCAAAATGTCAAAAATTCGAATCTGTTTAAAATTCTGAGCATATGAAGCAAAAACAGCTACAATATCTAGTATTTAAAAACATAAATCATCCATTTTTAACTTATTCTTGGACCAGAAATCTTCAGCCCGCTTCCCAAGCATTATAGACTTTGTAACGCGTCAAAAATTCAAACTATTTAAAATTCCGGACATACCACGTAAAAATAGAAGAATCATATCTTATGCTGGCCGGTCTGTTTTTCATTCCAAGACCAGCACCCCCATCAAATTATCGATCCAACCCCCACCCAACCGACGGCCGTCGACGTATACACAGCGCCTTTTCGAAAGTGGGCCGCGCGCCAAAAATAGTTCTCTTCTCTTCCGCTTTATAGAGTTTTTCAGCCTTGGAAACGCTTTTTCAATGGTTTTTATGAAGAAGAAAGGGCTTTTTATAGTATTTCAAATATCAGAGAATCAGCCGATGAATATGTTGTTCTGTTAGAAAAACAGCGATTCATTCCTAACATTTTTTACTTTTTATAGCGCCTCGATTCCGGTTGCTACGGTGTGTTTGATGTTTTGGGAGAATTCACGCTCCCCGGCGCGCCTTTAGACACCATAGCGTCACGCTTTTTGAAACTCGTGAGGGCCCGCCCCTCCCGATCGGCCCCGCTCTCTCAATTTTCTTACTTCACGCTCCGGGGGAGAATTATGATTACTGTTTAATCGTTATGCTTTATTTTGATTATTTAGACTTTTGTAAGCATTTAGTCGATTGAAAAGCTTTCGCTCGACACATTTTTTGCCGCACTCTCGAAATTGAGCAGAATATAGAGGAATGCTTTGATTTAGCTAGTTTTGTCATTTAAATTTTTAGTTTTAACTGGCTTTACCTTGTTCGCGATGGTCTAATTAGTCTTTGGTTGTAAGTCTTTTGGTTATTCCGTATTTTCAAGGGGTTATAATGACTTTTTCGATCGTTACGTTTTCGTATTTGGCTTGATCTGACTTTGTAAGTAGTTACCTGGGAGAACAGCTTCCGTACGATGGGCAGTACTTCCAAATTTGTGCAGAATAGATCAGATTTGTTTTATTTAGCTACGTCTGATTTTTATTATCATGTTTTTTATCAGTTTAACGTTATTCGCGACAAACTGTACCGGGATTCATATTTTCATTTGTTTTCCTCGTAGGATAAACATACGTAACTTTTTCGAAACGAACTAGTCAACTGAGAATGGCAAGCTTTTTAGAAAATTCTTACTTTGATCTGAATTCTGAAGAACGTCTCCTTGTTTTCCTCGTTCAATACCGTCAATTTCTGCTTATATCAATGTACATTTCCCTTTTTTCAGGCCATCACCTACTCAGTGAGGCACAAACCGCTGGAATAGAGGCGCAACCCACCGTGTGCTAGCCGTGTCTGTCTGTGTGTGTGTCGGGTGCGCGTGTGTGTCTTCCCGAGCTGCTTCGTCTGCCTCGGTGTCTGTCTGTCTTCTGCTTTTCGACGGGACGCCATGTCGATCGCCGTCTCCATCCCATTCCTCATCGACGCCAAGCGGCAGTTTGTCGAGGAGGAGGGCAAGCTCAATGTTCAGCTACTCGACAAGGTAACTTTTGCTTTTTTTTTGTGATCCAGGAGTGATATATAGCGCTCGACGCGTGGTTGCAAACATAATCATCCGTTCCAGGTCGTCACCATGATGAACCAAGGCACCGGTGATGAGCAGCGCCAGGCCAACTGCGTGCTCGTCGAGCTGAAAGAAAACCCGAATTCGTGGACCAAGGTCGACGCCATCCTCGAATTCTCATCTCTGGCCGAGACCAAGTACTTTGCCCTCCAGATTCTGGAGTCCGTCATCCAAACTCGGTAAATTTGTTGGGTTGATTTATTGATCTTTTTTCAGCTGGAAAGCTCTCCCGATGGTGCAACGCGACGGAATCAAGAGCTTCATCGTCCAATTCATCCTCAAGCTCAGCGAGACCAACGAAGCGGCACAGAAAAATTCGCTGTTGCTGCACAAACTGAACCTCGTCCTCGTTCAGGTGCGAGTTTGGCCTTTGTCGCGTTCAATTAAAAGATTACATGATTTCGTATCTTCTAGAAGCTGATTAGTTTCTTGTTTTATGGTTTTTTCAGATCGTCAAGCAGGACTGGCCCAAAAACTGGCCCTCATTCATCTCGGACATTGTCGCGGCCAGCAAGTCGTCCGATTCGATCTGCATCAACAATATGAACATTTTGCGACTTCTGAGGTATAATTTCCCATCTATTCTCAAAATTTTCTACTTTTAGTGAAGAAGTGTTCGATTTCGGCAGCCAAAGCCTCACCCAGGCTCGCGAGCAACACCTCAAGACCCAATTCTGCGGCCAGTTCTCCGAAGTCTTCCAGCTTTGCCTGACGATTTTGGTGCGTGCTAGAAAATTGAATTAAAACATCTTTCTTCCAGGAAAAATGCCCGGCTCCAACGATGGTTGAAGCCACGCTGAATACGCTGCACCGCTTCCTGTCGTGGATTCCGGTCGGCTACGTCTTCGAGACGAACATCATCGCCATACTTTCGGAAAATGTGAGGAATTTCGGACGAACACGAATTACTTTTTCTCCTTTAGTTCCTGTCGCTCGAGATGTTCCGCGTGGTCACCCTTCAATGCCTCACCGAGATCGCCCTGATCAGCATCAACACGAATGACTACGACGACAAGCTGCGTCAAATGTTCTGCGCAACGATGAAGGAGGTATGAATCTGGTTTAGAAAAAAACTTGTGTTTTTAGATTGGCCAGCTGATACCGCCTGGCACTGATATTCCGGTGGCCTACAAAAACGGCTCGGACAGCGATCAGAAGTTCATCTCTTGCCTTGCGCAGTTCACCGTCGCCTTCCTCAAGGAACACGCCAATCTGATCGAAGTGCGTCCGTTGTAATTCTGCGATTCTGTATCGCATCAAAATCCGAATTTCTGGCCTTGAAGCCCCCGAATTGTCTAAATTTCTGGCGTTAGTTTGATCTTGAATTTAGGTTATCGTGCGTGTGTGTTGTGCCTGTCCTTGTTACTCGATTTATAATTTCTTTTTGCAGCCCGTCGACAACGACAATGCCAACTTGGCCGATTTCCACACCTACTCGGTTGAGACGCTGCTCAGCATCAGCATGGTTGAAGATGTCGAAGTTTTCAAGGTAGTTTTCCTTTATCGAAGCCAATTTTCTCCTTTTTTTAGATTTGCTTGGACTACTGGAACTGGATCACCGCCGAGCTGTACCGTCTGGCCCCGTTCAGCGCCCCGCCGACGTACACATCTTCACTGCGCGAACATCCACGCCGACGCCTTTACAAGTGAGATTCAGGCGCCGTTGATTAATTTATTGTTATTTAGGAATCACCTATCCACCCTGCGCTGCATCATGATCTCGCGTATGGCCAAGCCGGAAGAAGTGCTCGTCGTCGAAAACGATCAGGGAGAGGTTCGTTTTTGTTTCTTCGCGTTCTCGCCTTTATAGCGTCTCTTTCTCGGCAATGTTTCTTGACTTGAACACAGTGTAAAATTCTTTGTCAGTTTGATGCCCGTTTTCAGGTCATCCGCGAGCTGGTCAAGGACACCGACTCGATCACGCTGTACAAGAATATGCGCGAGACGCTCGTCTACCTGACCCATCTCGACAACAAGGACACCGAGATGAAGATGACGGAGAAGCTGCAGACGCAGGTATCCGACTGGGAGTGGGAGGTGAATCGACCCGAAAAGTGGCAACGTGTCGTATAGAATGGCCGTAGCTATTTTCTTGTGCTTTTCCGCTAACAACTTTTCAACCTCTTGCGCTACAAACTACTTGTAAAGTGGCAATCTTTCGTCCAAAATTCCCGTATAGCTATTTTCTTGTTTTCCGCTAACAACTTTTCAACCTCTTGCGCTACAAACTACTTGTAAAGTGGCAATCTTTCGTCCAAAATTCCCGTATAACTTTTCTCCTGTTGCGAGGTGACTTTCCACTAACTTACAATTAATTGCATCCGCATATGTATTTTTTTTAGGTCTCCGGCAACGAATTCTCCTGGAAAAACTTGAACACTCTCTGCTGGGCTGTCGGATCGATCTCCGGAACCATGTCGGAAGACGATGAGAAGCGGTTCCTCGTGCTCGTCATACGCGATCTCCTCGGGCTGTGCGAACAGAAGCGCGGCAAGGACAATAAGGTATTGAGCGATTTTCGGATTTGAATTTGGGTTTTACAGGCCGTAATTGCGTCGAACATCATGTACGTGGTCGGCCAGTATCCCCGTTTCCTGCGCGCCCATTGGAAGTTCTTGAAGACGGTTGGGTTTTGATCTCCTTCTTCAACGCTTATTTAGGTCATCAACAAGCTGTTCGAGTTCATGCACGAGACGCACGAGGGTGTTCAAGATATGGCCTGCGACACGTTCATAAAGATCTCCATCAAATGCAAGCGTCACTTTGTTATTGTAAGTTTATTTTGACAAATTCTACTTTTTTCAAAATTCCATTTTCAATTTAACTATTTAGTTGCAACTTGGCGAGCAGCAGCCATTCGTCGAGGATATGCTGGACAATCTGACGGGCATCATCTGCGACTTGTCACCACCGCAGGTCCACGTCTTCTACGAGGCCATGGGCCAGATCATCTCGGCCCAAACCGACCAGGCGGTTCAGGTATCGATTTTGCGAACTTTCGTAACATTTCGTTTAGGAAATGCTCATCGAAAAGTTGATGCGGTTGCCGAGCACCGTCTGGGACGAGGTCATCCAACATGGATCTCAGAACGTCCAAGTATTCCGGGAACAGGATGTGCTCAAGAACGTGCTGAACATCCTCAAGACGAACGTCGCCGCCTGCAAGTCGATCGGCATGCCCTTCGTCTCGCATCTCAGCCGGTGCGTTTTTCAAATTACAAATTACATCTTGATTGCTTTTGAAGCTTTTTTTTCTTTTAACCCCTTCTTTTCAGTATCTACAGCGACACGCTCTCCGTGTACAAGATCCTCTCGGAGAACGTCTCGGAGGCGGTCAGCAACTCGGGCGAGGAGGTTCTCAAGAATCCGGTGATCAAGCTGATGCGAGCAGTCAAGCGAGAAATCCTGATCCTGCTCTCGACGTGGGTGGCGCAGGCTGACGATCCGAAGGTGACTTTTTACTCGATTCCTATGGGCTGTTAGCATTTTTCCCGTTTTTGGCATCAAAGCAATTTTTGCAGGTTGTGGCCGACGAATTCGTGCCCCTACTCTTTGACGCGGTCCTGTTTGACTACCAGAAGAACGTGGCATCAGCTCGCGAGCCGAAAGTGCTTTCGCTGCTCAGCATCATCGTCTATCAACTACATGTACGTTTTGCCTTGTTTTGTTGGGGTCGTTTTTTCTGAAAGTAAGTGTGTACCGTGTAAATGCATAATTTAGTGTGTTTGTCAGTAAGTCGTTCGCATCTCACAAATTTCGCGGGCTGTAGCCTTTTAGAGGTAGTTTTCATAGCATTGAGTTTTCGGAATTCGCCTAGATACTAAATTCCCGTTTCCAGGACCTCGTATCGCAGCATGTTGCACGTATCTTGGGCGCCGTTTTCGAGTGCACGTTGGACATGATCAACAAGGATCTGGAGGTGTTCCCCGAGCATCGCACCAACTTCTTCGCCCTGCTCCTCTCCATCACGTACGCCATGTTTTGGTTTTTTAGCAATTTTTGTTTAGACAAGAATGCTTCTCGGTATTCCTGGAGATGCCGCAAGATCAGCTGCAATACGTCATCGATGCCGTCGTCTGGGGCTTCCAGCACAGCATGCGGAACGTTGCCGAGATTGGTCAGTTTTTCTTTATACTCTGGCTCTCGGAATCATGTGAATTACGTCTTTTATATTTTGTAATATTGTTTTCTGCCCGCCCAATTCTTTATTTTTCCGCTTTTTGTTGTCAACTTTTTTTTCAGGGCTCGACATCCTCAAGGAGATGCTGCAACGTGTGGCGAAGATATCCGAGAAGTCTGACGAGAAATCGCAGCCCTTCTACAAGAACTTCTACATGCAGATCCTTCAGCACGTGCTTGCAGTCGTCGCCGACAGCAGCCAGGTCCAAGTCGCCGGTACGTTCATTTTCCGATTTGCTGATTTATCGCTGCTTAGGCATCACCTACTACGCTGAGGTGCTGTGCGCGCTGTTCAGTGCTGCCGAATTCTGCATCAAGGTATTCAATTTATTTCGATCCTTTTCATCGTATTCCTATTTCCAGGTGCCGCTGAATGATGCGAACCCGCAGCAATCCAACATCGACTACATCTACGAGCACATCGGCTCCATCTTCATGCAACACTTCAGCAACCTGAACGAGTACGTGTTTGAGCTTTTCAATTTCGTTTTTTTTTGTTAAATTTTGATAACTTATTATTTTTAGGCAGCAAATTCGCGTGACTATCAAGGGCTTCTTCTCGTTCAACACGGACAAGACGCTGATGCGCAACCATCTTCGCGACTTCCTCGTCCAGATCAAGGAGTTCAACGGGGAGGACACGTCCGACCTGTTCCTCGAGGAGCGCGAACAGGAGATTCAAGCCGTTCAGGTACTGTTTTTGTGAGATTGCATGCCTTCTGTTTGTACGTTTGTCTTTGCGTTTTGTCTGAGCAGAATCTCGCATATTTCGATTAGGTAGAAAAAGGTTCAAAAGCTTTCGGTACTGGACTGTTAGCGGGGGAGGAAGCTGTTGGGCGGATACCTATATGCCGAAATTTTGCAGCATTTTATCGGGTTTTAATAAAAATTTTTAGTCTCTGAATGTTTAAAAATTTCGACATTTTCGCCGTTCTGGTACCCTTTTTACCAAAAAATTGGATAGTTGTTTGGGTTTTTTAATGAAAACAGTGCGATAGGCCAACGTTGTTTTGCCGGCTAAGCCCCCCGCTAACAGTTCAGTGCCCGATTTTTTTTGCTAGCGTATCTTGGCGCAGCATAGTGTCTGTTGTTTAGGTGTGGTCAAGTATCTGTGCGTGGCTCGACAACGATCTGTCTGTCGATTACTCAAGCGCGTCCCTAGTCCATTTCAGTGCATTACCTTTTGCTGACGTGTGTTTTATTCTGTACACTTCATTCCCTTTTTTCAGGCGAAGAAGCGTCAAGTGCCCGGCATGGTCGACCCGAACGAGCTGAACGATGAGGACGAGATGAAGTAGATGTTCAACACCCATCCAACGTCCCGCTCGATTCGATTCGTTTTGGTCTTGTAATGGCTTGTCCCTCGTTGTACCCTCGGATTCCCTCTGGTCTCTCTCTCCCCCCTATCCACCACTACCAACAATGTGATGTCGTTATTCGAAAAAAGAGGGCCGTCTGAACAGAGAGGTTTGCATTTCGGGAGCCATCGTGTGAGCGGCTTTTGGCTTGACTAGGGCTCTATTACCACCCAAGAAATTAGTTGTACTTCCCCACCTTGGTCAAGTCATACCTCCCCCGGGCTCCTCACCCATATTCCAGACCCTCACACCATTTATTATGTCATTTTTCGTGTCACCTCGTCGAGTCTCCCGGTCAAAGGGAACTGGAATTTAGATATGTAAATTCGCGTTGTTACTCGGCGATACTCTCTGGATTCCCGGCTCCCTTTCAAATAGGTGGCGTGCCGGAGGTGTTTGTTGTAACATTAAATGGTTGGGATTAATGGCGACTGCGCCCCCGGCATGGCTCTCCTTTTCAAGCTCTCCCTTCCGACCCACAACTACTACTCCTCCTCCGAAAAAACCGGTCCTTTCCCCCCAAATCCAGCCACGCTAGAGATGTTATGCATGTAAATTCGACGTCGAGATAACGGGCGAGTTAGGATAAAACTTATAAACTTTTTCACCAATATAAAGCTCTTTCCGAACGATCCGGTTATCCCGATGTCGAATTTTTATGGCTGACGTCTCTTCGTCCCTCGATTCTGCTGTACCCTGCGGTTTCTGATGGTTGACACCCCCCTCCCATTTTCTACCGCCCCAATATTTTCGTTGCAACCCAGATCTCTCCCCCCTGCCCACCCCACATCCAATAAATGTTCTTCTTCTTTTTATTGTGTGCTGTTGTTCACCGTCGATTGCTTCTTCGCCCCCCACCCACTCTGGATACTGTTTTGTTGTTATTGAGTACGCGCCAAGTTTGCAGCCCTCCCTCTGTCCCCGTCCGAGCCCCCATTTTCGCACCCCACCCTCCTGCTGCCCCTTCCTTTGAATAAAATCACTAAATTATTTTGGCCTTGCGGAAATCACGTATGAGGATCTCGTGTGACGCGGCGGTGACTACAATTTGGTACGAGCCTGCCGGAAGCCGGGCTCTGTAGAGGTGTGACTCAGGTCTTGGAAACGTTGTGATTTAGGTATACGATAGGCGGTTAGGAACGTAAGGTCCTTTCGGGCACAAATTCGTGCGTAATTCACGAATTCATCTGGCTTAGCCTATGAAACTTGCTTTTAAGGGTTTTGTAGGGAAATTCCGTTCACGGTTAAGTATAAGTATAAGAACCTAAGCCTAAATCCCGGAATTCCGAATTTGCGAGGTGTGACTCAGGTTTTGAAGTCTTTTGCTTTCGGTATACGGTAAGGAGGTAGGAACGCAGCTACTTTCTGGACGAAATTGGCGCGTAATTCGTGAATTCAGCTAGCTTGGCCCCTGAAACCTATTGTTGGAAATAGTTTTTTGAGGAGAGTGCTACACCAGCAGCCCGTATCTTTTAACCGACCAGCTCCAATATTCATTTTGGCTGGATTTTTTCGATAATACCGGCTTTAGTTATCCTACTAAACTTAGTAAGCTGGAGAGGATTTTGTAACCTATTGAAAACGGTTTAATAGGTATTAAGCTAGCTTATATCTTTGCTAGCTTCAACGGTTTCGTAATGAAAATGTAAGTACGGTGCCCGTGCAGGACTATTGTCCCAATTAGATCTTCTAATACTTTAAACAACAAAGTAGAGGGAACATTACTTGAGTACTGCCTTCAGGAGCTATTTTTACGACTGAAACATAAAGATTTTCCCGACTTCTCGAACTATGGAAGTTGTGAGGTATTACAAAGCTCATTAAAACGTATTAAACACCTAGCTTCAAAGGTATTTTCGGGCTCTTCTTGTTGAGCCATAGCCCGATTTCCGAAATACACGAGGTGATGTGTGACACATGTGTGTCTATGGAAAGAGTATAGAGGCGGAGTCTCGGCCTCTATACGCGTCATCTGATGTCTTCAGAAGGGGGCGGGGCTTCCCGTCCTCCTCCTCCTCCTCTTCCTCTTGCTCCTCCATTCCTCCTCCTCCTTCCTCCAGCCGCCCTCCACCACCCCCATCATCTACACAGTGCAATGAGATGATCCGATCGTGGCCCGTGCTCCTCACCTTGGCCGTGCTCATCCAGGCAACAATCGTCTCCGCGGCACCCAACAACGCATTCCACATCATCAGTACGGTTGTTTTGAAAAGTATTTTTAATGAGCGTCGATATCCGGATTTTCCGGAGCATGTTTTTCGAAATTTTTGGTACTTTCGATATTTTGAAACCGTTATTCGATCGTACCTTAAAAGTACGATTATTCGTAAGTACCTTAAAAGATTATTTATTCGCCGAATTTTGCCTTTTACTCCCCAGATATCCAGATTTTTGTGAGCTGCCGTTGTATTGAGCACTGCCGCATTTTTCAGGGACTCCGAATGTTCCTTGCGCGAAACATTTTTTTGCCAGTTCAATTTTTTGGAAAATGCACCAGAAATCGTCAGGTTTAAGCCAAGTCAGGGGTTTGCGATAAAGCCCCGTTAATTCACTATGGTTCATTTTTTTCCAATTTTACGATCTACCGATTCCATTGCGGGGTTCTTTATTCCAAAGGTATTCGCACGCGACACTATCTCCAGACGGGCTAGTTCGTGCGCAGCTTGCAGTCGCTTTTTGTGTTCTTTGAGATTCCAATCCTCATGTCGTTTTGCTGGGCAAATTGCTAGGTGGGGGAATCTTTAAGAGATTCGGCTTTTCGCCGAAATCTCGTGATCTAGACTGGCAAATATGCAGTCAAAAAAAGAGAGAGAGAGATCGAGATATCGAGAGAGCTGGATAGAGAGAAAGAGAAGCACGTTTTGGTTTTGCAAACTTTTAGACGTTTCCGTAGCATTTTTAAGCCTAAAACCCCTGCAATTCCAGGCTTTTTCCGCTTCTCCCCCTAGCGGATTCCAAGCACTTCCTTGCTCCAGAATTGGGCCGATTATCCGGGTACTGTGCATAATTTGCTAGTTCAGGATTTCGACTTCCGGTTTTAGCCTTCAGGCGGCATTGCCCCACCTAAATTTTGATGTTTCATAAGTCAGTGAATTTGGAAATTTTTTATACCTTAATAGCTTTTTCGTTTGGGCTTCGCTGAATTGACGATCTAAGGCAGTATTTAATAAATTTACTCATTAGCTAATTTTGTATCATCCACCCGCTAATCAACTAGAACCTATTATTTTAGCTCATCTCCCAATGTTTTATTATTAGTTTTGAAACAAAAAAAAGGATGTTTCCATCTTGGAACACGTGCCGGAATTTTTCAAAATTACAATTCAATGTGCGGTGGTTGTTCGGAGTTCTTTTGTGCGTTGCAGCCAGTGATTTTTGCGGCCGCCGAAGTCCTATTAGTTTTCCATAGAACCTGTAGAAAATAAGAATTATTCGATTTATTTTATATTATCGAATTATCGATTTATTCTTCAGAAAGGGATAGCTTTTTAGTTTCATTGGAAAAGTTGCCAAGTGTTACGCCTACCATGATTAAAGCACGAACGACATATCAATAATGCCAACGATCGTTGAAACATGTTCTTTCTAAGTTTCCCGGAATCGTTTTGGCCATCAACTTTTCCGGCGTACAACCAGACGTTTTACACGCAAAACTAGGCAATTGACGCAGCATTGATAAGTCGAGCGGATTTTTGTATTAGGCTCCGGTGAAAGAATGTCAATCTTGGAACTCCCGACGGAAATTTTTAAAACCGTATTCATAATCTGCTAGTTTGTTTTTGAAATTTTAAAGTGTTGAAATTACATTTTCATATAGATCCCAAAAGCCGTTTTTACGTAAAACATGTGGAAAATTGTTAATCGATTCATTCTTTTCCTTTAGCTTCCTTCTTATTTGATAGCCACCGCAGGCATTTTTTCATCAGTTTTGTTAGGGAAAATTTTTATGTTTCAACCTCGAAACTACTGTCGGAATTTTGAAACGTCATAATCAAAATTTTGATTTTCCTCAGAATCAACCCTGTCTGAATTTTCTAAAATACGAATTCAACATCTTTATTTTGTTCACGAGTTAAAGTTTGGGCATTCGTTTTTAGCATTTAGCTATCGTTTTGGCACTCAAATTCCCTGAATACGTCGAGAAGTTTCCACTTATATTACGTAATCGATTGGAATTTAATTTATTTAACTCACAGCAGCAATCATTTTCTTAATGTTTCATTTAAAGTCTTACCGACATTTTTGAAATTGTGGATGCGGTTTTCGGAGTTTTGCATGCGAGTTCTTACGTAAATTTTAGCGATATTTTTGGCCCCTTAAATTCCGGAAATACACGAAAAAGTTTTAACGTTTGTCACGTACAAGAAAACGATGAAAATATCGTTTTTGACCTTTTTGATTTTTCCGTGGAAAAGATAATGTTTCAGCTTTGACTCTCCTGTCCGAATTTTTTTAGAACAGGAATGTACAGCTCCCGCGTTGGCCGATTTTTTGCGGTTTTTGGCGATAGTATGGCTCTTAACTTTTGGGAAAACACGAAATTTTTTTCATATATTAAGAATCGGTAAGTAATTAAAATATAGTTTAATATTTCATTTTTTTTCTGTGGAAAAGATAATATTTCAGCTTTTACTCTCCTGTCCGAATTTTTTAGAACAGGAATTATACGTCCCGGAATCTTACAAGCTTGTAGCTATAATTTTGATGCTTCAATTTCTTGAATACGTCGAGAAGTTTTCACTTCTATTACGTAGTCGGTTGAAATATTGTTTATTTAACTCATGCCAGCAATAATTTAATTTTTCAGTGGCCATCTTAATGTTTCACTATTTAAGGTCTTAGACGGATTTTCCAAAATCACAATTAAAGGTTTTTGGAAGCGCTTGGCAATCCTACCTTATATAATTTTGGCGCGTATGTGTGTGTGTGTGTGTGGATGTCACTTTCGAGGCCCGATTTGAGGGCCTTCCCGTGCATAAAATGTCCTAATTCTCCGTCACCCGGGGGAATCGACCCTCCTCTTTCCGATGGCGTTCTCAGAATTTCAGTAAAATACAAGTTTACAAAGTTAAGGCCGGTTTTATTCATTTTTGGGGGTCCCTGAGGGCTAATTTGCATAATGCGAGAAAATACAAATTTCCTCATTCTTGCCAGTTGCACCCGCGAGTTTGGCCGCCTCATTGCAGCTGCCTCTCATTGCCATTGCTCCCCTTTCCCGGCAATCACCTCGTGGCATACAAGGGGTGTTGCGCGCGCGCTCCCAAGCATTTCATGGTATAGTGGTTAGAGCGTCAGCCAGCCAATCTTGCTATCGGGGGTTCGATCCCCGGCTATCGTATTTTTTTTGCTTTATGCTCGGAATGCATGTTTTGAAATGTATTTTCCTGTAAGGAGGCGCTATTCTGAAGTCAGTTGCTCTAAACTGCGTCGCAGGCTAACGAATCCAGCTAGGCACTGAAGCTAGCGCCGCAGGCTAAAGATTCAGGCTAATTCCTCGAGCTAGCGCCGCAGGCTTTAGAACGGATTTAGCCGCACAAGCTAGCGCCGCAGGCTCGAGCATGAAGATACCCTCTCAAGCTTGCGCCGCAGGCTTTAAACCAAAGCTAGCCGTGCAAGCTAGCGCCGCAGGCTTTAGAACGAAGCTAGCCGCTCAAGCTAGCGCCGCAGGCTTTAGAACGAAGCTAGCCGCAGAAGCTAGCGCCGCAGGCTTTAGACCAAAGCTAGCCGCAGAAGCTCGCGCCGCAGGCTAAAGATTCAGGCTAATCCCTCAAGCTAGCGCCGCAGGCTTTACAATCGATTTCGCCGCAGAAGCTAGCGCCGCAGGCTAAAGAATGAAGCTACCCTCTCCACTTGCGCCGCAGGCTTTAGACGAAGGCTAGCCGCTGAAGCTAGCGCCGCAGGCTAATGAATCGGCTAACCCCTCAAGCTTGCGCGGCAGGCTTAGGAAAGAAGAAGGTCTCTGACTCTGAAGCTCGCGGCGCAGGCATAAAGAAAGAGTTAGCCAATCAATCTTGCGCCGCAGGCTTTCGAACGAAGCTAGCCGCACAAGCTAGCGCCGCAGGCTAAGGAATAAAGCCAACCATCGAAGCTAGCGCCGCAGGCTTAAAGAAGGAGGTAACCGCTCAAGCTTGCGCCGCAGGCTTTATCTCGAAGCAAACCGCTCAAGCTGGCGCCGCAGGCCAAAAAAAGAGGCTAATCCCTCCAGCTTGGGCCGCCGGATGAGGTAGCGACCTAGCCGATGAAACATGCGCGGCAGGCCTAATAACGAGACCAGCATTTCAAGCTTGCGACGCATGCCAATACAAAGAGGTTTGCAAGGAAAATGGGTTTTTCTTTGTTCAAGGTAACTTTATGTGGAAGGGCGCTCGATTAATAGGGCCTAGACGGGATCCAGCGGGGGAGAGTCGCGAAGCGGCTCCTCCACCGCTGGTTCTTTTTATAATTTTTAGCGATAGTTTTGACCCCTTAAATTTTGGGAATACACGGAGAAGTTTTCACGTAGAACCCGTAGTTTCGCCGACCGACCGACCGACGATGGGCCCCAATTAACGCCGTTTCTCTCGCGTCGGAACCGCACATTAAGGAGTCAGCGGCCGCGTCGGGGTTCGGTACGCACGGCTGGGTTTAAAGTGTTGCTCGTAGCAGGAAAGTGAGGAGGAACAAGGAAAAACAATTTGTTTCGAGTTCAAAGAGTAATGGAGAAAACAAAATATAGCTATTTTCACGTTTTCACGCATTAATAGATAAAAATTTATTTATCATCTCTACCTTTGGAGTTCTCAAGGAGCGTTTGATGAACCTTGGTGCTTTCGCATTATCGCGGGTATTTCGGTACTTTCGGTACGTCACGTAATTTTTTAATATAGTTTAATTTTTGTTTAGTTTTTCGTATTTTCGTATAGATCCAGAAATGTCTACTAATGTAATAGCAGTGCCTTAAAAGGGGTTTAAAAGTTTTTTTAATAAAATTTAACCACATTTCAAGTGTAAAAGCTGTCTAAAAAACCTAGAAATTTTTTGAATTTTGATCGAAAGTCGACCATTTTCCGTCGAAAATAGTTATTTTTGTATTTTTAATGGAAATTTTTAAAGTTTCGACGTCTCATAATAGTAAAAATAGTTCAGAAACACTCCTCTATTTAGAATAGAAAAATTGGACCCTGAGGGAAAAAAAACCTGTTTCAGTTCTACAAA